TACGACAACGACAACGACGACGACGGCTACTGCTGTTACCACTACTGTGGTGGTGGTGATGGATACGAGTATCAGTCTTAATACTAGGATCTGTAACGGTATGCGCATTTGTTTCCGGTATCGATATCATTAGAAGTATGTTTGGCTTTCGTAAAAGCTTCATGAGTACAGCGTGGATGCCACAACTGATGCATCGCGTACTGCCTCGAACATGCGCCTCCCGACCGACCCATTCACATGGAGTGGTAGTGCCTGGGTCACTCCCCCTAGGGCAACAAGAGTCATGAAATTGGAACTTAACTCGGGGATATCATCGCTCAAATGCAGTGTTGTAATTGCTACAGTACGGGTGAGGGACCCTAGGCACTTGGCAGAAGCGAAATGAAATTCAGCCACCTTGGAAATACAACTAATTCTGCTTCTGTTAGGGCTTGCGGTGTAGGACGCAGGCTTTCGGGTGCAAAGTCCAATCCCCTCCAGAAGGAACAGTCCACTGACACGCACAAAAAGCAAGCAAAATTTTAGGTCGGGTTTGGAAAGTCTTCTTGGCTTTCTCGCTCTGGTACGAAACCTAAGCCCCAAACCCACACAGGCCGACTAACCTGCGTCAACAAAGGCAGCAATGGCCTATGGCGGACATCAAAGGATTGGCTTTACCAGACGGTAAACAAGTTCTGGCTGCGGCTTTAGAAACGGAAAGCCCAGCACAGGTTTAGGGTTTAGGGTTCAGACTTGCCTTCCTCCTGACTCCATATGGTTGTTTCCCTAAAAGGGGGGACCCCAATATAGACCCCAAAATACCATAATCCTTACTATGGGACCCCCAGATCAAGTACCCCTAGTTTTGGGAACCCCCCTACTTTGGACAGCGGAAAAGTGTCGAGTCACCTCCTCCGTTCAGGGGGATCGTCCGTCTCATCAGAGTACAGTTTCTTTTGGTGGTTGAACCTAGTAAGATTATATTCCTTATATAAAATACTATACCCCAAGAAGAGGATAGAATCTTACTCTATATTGCGTACCATAGTATCCAGAAATAAAATACTACCCATCAGATCTTTGAGAACTTTCTTGAGTTGATCTCCGTCTCATCCGCAAGGAGCAGGCTATGTGTTTAGGGTTTGGGACTTAGGGTTAAGGGTGTATAGTCCCCCTCAAGTAGATGGAATATTGGGGTTATAATGGGATAATGGAAAAGAAAATAGAAACTACAATTTAGGGTGGGGTTTAGGGATATAGTCCGCCTTGAGTAGATAGAATATGGCTTTGGGTATATTATAAGATCCCCATATACCCCCTATTCTATCTACTTAAGGGAGACTTTCAGCCTTTTTACGATCCGCGTGTGTCCCCCATTCCTTGCCGGGTGCACCTGCTTTGAGAATGGACCCCCAACCCCTAGTGTCTACATTGCACTGATAAGTCTCTCCGAAAGACGCATCCCATTTTTTGAAACACCAAAATATTCAATTTTTTTTGAGGAACTCCCATGTACCCATGAGATATACCCCTACGCAATCACCATAGAAATGCCCTTGTTTTGACAACCTCCCTAAACTCCAGACCATTAAACTGAACCTCTGCCTAACCTGACATGCTCTCCACAACAAGGGTTTAGGGCTTTGGTTAGGGTTTAGGGTTTAGGGTGTATTATTATTGCTACCCTTACTACTATTATTGATACAACTATTGCTACTATTATTACGAACCTTGAAACCTAAATCCTAATCCTGAACTTGATACCCACAGCCTAGACCTCCACATCATTCCCAGGCGCGACAGCAGTCAGGTCACGCTTCACGCTGTCGACAATCAAAGGCATGGCAGTCACTGGCCGATGTTTTGGCCCATGGGTCTTGTGCCCTTGGTCTAAGGTTAAAACTTTGGGGTTGAGGGTTTAAGGGCTTAGGGGTTTTGAGGTTTCAAAGCATGCGCTGCAAGCGGTTGGGGAGGTGTGGTGAGTTTTGGGTCCGGTGTTCCCGCGCGGGGCAACAACGGCCAGAAGATGGTGGCTTGGCTCTGAAGACACTGAGATTAAAACGGTGCCGCATGGCAGCTTCATGAAAGACCGATCGTGCGCTCTGTCTGAGCTCACCCTATGCCATCTTAGTGTTTGAAGATTTTCAAAGCGCCTGGGCCCGAACATGTCAGTCTGTCAACGGTAGCTGAAGTGCTTCCATTTGCGTCCCACATGGCTAGCTAAAACTTCTGGTGACACTGAGCCGCGTCAGGGAAGTCAGGTGCAAGCATTATGACAATACGAACATACACAACTGAAAAGGATAACTGCGTTTAATGACAGTATCAACCACAAGAGGAATACACATACAAACGAAAAACACAATTCACGATTGATGTTAGTATCAGTTTTGAAGACACTGATGGCTTGGCCAAGCAGCGTGGAAGCTTTCGAGTTTAGGGCTTAATTTAGGGCTTAGGGTTTAGGGCTGGCGTCAACGCAACATCTCCTGCATACAGGGATGCTTCGTACAGGGACGGTCCCAAGCGGCCCCAATTTTGGCGGATCCTCGTCTAGAAAAGGGAGACCTGCAGTTGATCTTGCAGGTACTACCCTAAACCCTAAACCCTAAACCATAAACCCTAAACCCCAAATAACCCTAAACCCTAAACCATAAACCCTTAACCCCAAATAGCTTCTCAACTGAAATGCTCAAAGCAAGTCTAAACCCTCCCCAAATACCACAGCGGTCCGGGTATGCTGGATTGGAGGGTGAATGTGCTGAAAGCCCTCTGGATCCCATAACCATTCTAAATGGATTCAGGGCTACAACCCTTTACACCCAACTCCCTCAGCTCCCTAGACTCCCTAGAGTTCGCCCCTACTTCAAGCAACCCTGAATCTGCACCTTACTAAGCCCTAGGCCCTGAGCCCTGAACGCAAAAGCCCTAAACCATCACCTCACGCTGAAAGCCCTGAACCTTTATGTTTGAAAGCCCTAAATCCGACAAGATTGGCAGTCACTCTTTTGCCTGGTGGGCTTCCAGCGTGAAACAAGCAGCGCTTCTGCGGGGCACAGCGCAGCCAGGCAAACCACTACCCAACCATAGTAGTTTCCATTTTGTTTTCCATTAGCCTATATAACCCCACTAGTATATGCCATAGAATCCCTATATAACCCTAATGGTCCCCCTATTTTGGGAACATATTAGATCAGGTGTTTGTTGTGGACGGCTTTAGGTTGCTGACTTAGAGTTTAGAGCTGAGGCTTAGGGTTCAGAGTTGAGCTTAGGGCTCTAAATTTCGCAGTAAGGGTTGAGGTTGAGTTTTGGGGCTTTTGGTTTAGGTAAGGGCTTGGGTCTCTAGGGGCCACGTTTTTGAAAATGGGCAGGATTGTGTGAGGTGGAGTTTTCTCGATGATGTTAGCATATAAGCCAATTTCTCAATAGACCCGTCCCTTTGAGAAACCTCCAGACAAGTAGCTACCCAGCGAACCCAATACAGCTTAATTACGGAATTTTACTTACACCACATTGAAGGTCCTAGTGAAATTTAAGGCATAGTCCTTCATCAAGCTTCATCGGGCTGTTTGCGCGTTGCTTTGAGAATCAGGAAATGTTGGCTACACCGCCAAGCCGGGACCAGAAGCGCTCAGTCATCCTTCTTGTCCCCTGATAGCTGTTCAAACCTCGGCCCAACATAAAAGAAATGCACCTTTATTAGGGAATATAGGTCACATGAAACTGGGATCCCTAATATGGTTTAAGGTATATTCTTTAATTAAGGACCACTAACCTTAGTTCCAAGGTTGGTGGGGGTCCTGGGTTAAGAGATCTTGCTTAACTGCTGAGAGACTCTAAGGACTTGGCTGTTCCCAACTGTAATATTGGGGTAAAAGAGGGTAAGATAAGGATAAGGGAAAACAAAATGGAAACTACTATAATCTAATAGGATATATATATAGGGGCACTGTAGGGTTATATAGAGATAATGCAAAAGAAAATGGAAACTTTATCTAGGGTTTAGCGTTATACAGGCATGATGGAAAACAAAAATGGACACTAGTATATACGGCGGTTCCCAAACTCAGGGTTGAGAGGTCCTCACACGAAGGATTAGAATATTTTGGGGTCTATATTGGGGTCCCCCTATTTTGGGACACCACCATCTCAGCCATAAAGGAATTCCCGTGGCAGGCTCTTACACGGCAAGTTCTTGAAGGGTAACTGTGGTAAGAAGTGCGCGAGGCAGGCTATAGCCATGATACCTTAACCCTAAACTTAGGAGGACCCCCCACCCTGTAACGTGGTATAGTAGGAATATAGCAGGACCCGAATATAGTCCGTATTATCCTTTATAGTCACTATTACAGGGTGGGGGGTCCACCTAACCTAAACCCTAAAACCTAACCCCTGTGACTCGTGAGCAGGATGACACGGACTTGAGCTCGAGCAGTGCTCCACAACCCCTCATTCCAAACAAGGGGTTTGGGGTTTAGGGTGGGTTGACTGATCCCTTTCCGAATTATGAACCACCTCCCAAGACACTTGGATCATGACTATGAGATACTATGGGCACCCCAACAAACAAACCCCGTATTAACACTGAACCTAAACCACAAGCTGACAAACTGTGAAGTCTGAGTCACATGTCATTCTTCCACTTGCCGCCCGGTGAACCTCCTCGCCTCGACAAAACAGACCTACTGGAGGTTTCTTGTGCAGTTATGAAAGTGGGCTTTGGGGTCTTGGGTTTAGTGTTGTCAGAAGTGTGGCTGTAAGTTCTCTAGTCAGGTTCTCGTATAGGTCATCCGGTTAGAACCGGCTTTGGGGGCTGAAATCCATAACATTGCATTTTGATGCATGTAAGCGATAGGCCACAAATTAGTGTCCTGAATGGATGCGTCGTACATATTCCCCCCATTACATGGCAATTTTTACTGGGGGACTGAGGGGCCTTTTATTATTACCTGAACAGCCCCAATATTCCTCACATAAGCTCTGTACAATCCCAGTTCTGTTCGATTTCCCATTTTTCTTCTGCATGCGATGTTTTGTAGGGAGGCGACGGCTAGACACCCTAAACCCTACGAATCCTGGTTAAACCCTAAACACTGGCCCTAATACTAAACCCTGGAACGAAATCCTCGACCCTAAATCCCTAAATCCCTAAACTGCTCCTCTGTGTTCTCAGGTCTGAAAGGCAAGATCCCGAGCTCAAAGCCCAAAGCCACGAAGCAAAAGCTCTTCAATGCTTTTCTGGGCTAGCCGGAAAGTGGAATATAGGTTTAGGGTTTAGGTACCAAAAACAAGGAGCATGTGAGGATGGCTAATAAGGGAATTGGGTAACGTCAAACGGGATTCTATAGCCATCGCATGACCATGATACGGTCCTAATTTTCAACCTGGATTGCCAAACTCCTCAAACTAATAACCTCAAAACCTGAACCCGAGACGCTTCATCTAAAAACCATCTTTAATCCTAATCCTTGCACAGCCCCGAAGTTCGGGGGTGGCATATGACTCACAAGGATCCCTTGATTTTGGGGCTTCTCCACAAAGTATACACGGGGTCCAAAGGGGATCCTAGAGTTTCTCTTTAGGATTGCATACCAGGGACCCTAAACCCTAAACCCCTCAAGCCTATAGCCCTAAACCCAAAACCATGTGAATAATCTAGCATGCGGCAGAAGCGCCTGACAGCTGGGGCGGCATCGTTCCGCCTATGAAGAGACCAAAGGTTCCACCGAAACTTTAGGGTTTAGGGTTTGGGGCTTCGGATTTCGCTCTTCAGGCATGTGCAAACTTACAACCGGCTTGTCAGGGCACCATAGATTTTGGAGGACTTCATACATTAAGGAATCTTTACACGGGCCAACTGGTGGCGAGAAGTGAGAATCAAAAGGGGTACTCACATAGCCCTGGATTTTTGGTAAGACGGAGAAATCGCAAAGGGTTCGGGTTGATCTAGTACCTAGCGTGACCACACATCATGAACCCTAAGCCCCAAACCATGAACCCCCAACACCAAACCCTGAAGCCGAATCTCTCAATTAGCCACCCCTGCACATCCCACTGACATGTTAACATGTGGCGCGATACTTGCCGTCTTGGATTCTGACAATTGGAACCCTGCAGTTCCATCAGTATATGCAAGGAACCATGACTGAAGAATAGCCGATCAGATTCCTGACCCATTTAAGACAAGATGTGAAATTAATCTGTATGGGAAAGGTTGGCACATTATGCTCCGCCTTCAGATCCAGTTAAGGGTAGGGTCCACGAGATTCAGGTCACAAATAGATGTTTCTTGTCAACCCCTCATATACACACCTCCACGGTACCTCAAAACTTCATCCGAAATCATTCAGCCCGCGCCCACGAGGCAAAAACCTAAGGCCCGAAATCCTACACCCTGACTCCGCAAATCCCTGAACCCTAAATGCCTAAACCCTAAACCCCTAAACCCTAAACACCTAAACCCAAAATCAATAAACCCTAGAATCCTAAATTCCAAAAAAACTAAACCCAAAACGCCGCGCCTGTCGTCATGCTCACTGTAATTGCGCGCTAGAGGGACGCCCGTCAGCTTTTCCGCCTGTCTTCCGCCCAAGCTGTGTGTATAGGGTGGATAGGAATGATAGGGAATCAAATGCAGTAACAGAGAACACAGAAATTGAAATGGAAACTGGGATATTACAGGGGTTTAGGGTGCAGGCCAGGTAGGGGTAGAGAGGGTTGGAGTAAGGACATGCTGGTAAGTATATCTCGATACACTACGGCTATTCATGATCGTGCTTGAAGACACTAGAAGATACTGCATGGCTACAACTTGGAATATACTTATGGGTTACCATTGCATTTCATCTTTTGGTTTCGTGGAGCAGGCATCGACGAGTCTAGCTTAGGAACTGGGTAATCATCTACACCCCCATTGGTTTTATCGTTCCACCTTACAGTAACTGTTACCACAATAGGTAATAGGAGTTATACTAGGCTCTTACTACAGCCCCTCTAAGGACAGTTGCTGTAAGGGGGAGTGACTCAACCCATATGCCGGTCCATACGCTAAACCCTAAGCTCCAGATCCCAAAACTTCCCCCATTCGTCTCCGTAACTTCACAATGCTAAACTCCAGATACTTAACCCTGCCTGCCCTCCCCATCCTGGACACGAGATCACACGGATTTAATCCCTTCCCCCTCGTATCAAAAACCCCATGCTAAGAGAACACTAGTCTTTATGGGGCCCCTCTTGAGGCTCCGCGGTATCTTGGGGGAGGGCACAATTTGAACTGAAATCTCAGCTTGTTGTTGCGGAACCGAGTTTCTGTGAAGGAACTTGCACCTAGGTACCCTGGTGGAGGAATAGAAGAGAAATTGTGGCTGCCTTATGTAAAAAAACAGGCTCTATCTATCTATCTGTATGTACACATAGTAGTTTCCATTTTCCAACATCCCTTTGTAACCACGATATAAACCCTATATAAACCCTATTGAACCCCCTTAAGTTAAACCCTTGACATCAACCCAATAATGATCACAATAGCGAGACCAGTGCGATTCGAGGACTGAAGCCCGAAACCCTAAACCCTGCTCGTTTGGTCATTCAACCTTACAATGGGCAATAGGGATTCTCATAGCCCTGTAGTGAGACCGGTTTAAGGATGTGAGGGGGAATGATCCAAGGTTTAGGGTTGTACTTTCCATTTCATGTCCCTCTTTGTCCATGTGATTCTTGATTATTGAGGTCATAAATCCCTAATCCCTAACCCTATAAAACCCAATATAAACTCCACTTAGCCCCCATATAACCCCGAACCCCGCAACCCTACACCCTACACCGGTTCAAGGGGGAATGGCTCCACCTACATGTCAAACCCTGCACTCTGAAACCCTCAAAGCGTCCTCCAGGTCTGGATTTCGTCCGCGTCCAGGCATCTGAAAAGGGCTGAGAGTTTAGGGTTTAGGGTGCATGGTTGAGGGTGTAGGCAACGCAAAGGGTTTTCCCACAGCCCAGGTCTCATCGAGCGCGTCAAGTTTGGCTCCGCTTGGAAATTTGGGGTGGCTGGGGTGGGGGGGGGCGGGTAATTATGTTCACTTCAGTGACAGCCATCTTAACCTGCAAAACGCAGTGTTTCGGAAACCCTCATGCAAAAGCACCGCATTCATGTTCGACAGCATCCGGTTACTAAAGCATCCCTGCAAACCAGAATGACGTTCATGTTCGGGGGCATCCCATTACCAGAACATCCATGCCCAAACCATAATAACGCTCATGATCGAGAGCATCCCATCACTAGACCATCCATGCCCAAGCCATAAAAACGTTTGTATTACAAGCGCATCCAGGTACCAGAAACACTGCGCCCAGTGGGACGAAGTCTATGTCCTTTCTGGGAACCCTGATGCAAAAACACCGCACGTAGTGGGACAAAATGCATGTCATGTACAGCTTCTGATCGTGCGAACACAACAAAAAGCCTGACTATCAGCGTTGTGCTTCCTTTGCTACACTTGTAAAAGGCAGTATTTTTGAACAGGGTCTAAATCTGCCCATTCACCTTCGCACTTTCTGAGGGTGCGACGTAACACTTCTGGCATTGTGCCAAAGCCATCGTTTCTTGCACTTGTTTACTCCCAAGCTGTACAATATTCTCATCATCAGCAAGAAAATTCCGCGGAGTCATGACCCTCCGTTCCTCGAACGCGCAAAACCCCACAAGCTGAATACTCTGTAAAACGCGGTTGTTTCTGTACTCTTCACACTATGTAATATGAAGCTCGCATGGATCTTCCAGCGAACCCCTTCCGTTGCGCGTTAGGGTTTAGGGCTTAGGGTTTAGGGGTTAGGGCTTAGGGTCTAGGGCTGAGGTTACCCTCCTCCCAAACAACCTTGAAACTCCCCAAAACAAGCTTCTATCAGTTTAGGCGTGGAAGCAAATTAATTCCTGAACAAATGGGCCTAGCTGTTGAAGAATGCCAAGACCCTGTCAAGGCTTTGAGAGGAATTTGCTTGCAAAGCTTTAGGAACCCTATACTGGGCTGCTGTTAATAGAGTTTGTTTACTATAGCAATGTAATCTAAAGTCCTTAACAGCAACCCAGTAAGCCCTGAGTCTTTGGTTGAGGGATCGACAACATGATTATGGAAAGAGCATTTCTGCTGCAGGGGCCTTGAACGCAGGTCTTCAGATATGAGCTATAGTCCAAACTCCTAGTATCCCCAATAATAAGCCTTATACTAGGAACCCTGTATAGTCCCCTCTGTAATCCCGTTTAAGGAGTCTAGGCTATAGCTCATATGTTGCTTGTTTACCTGCCATTGTCTGAGTTACGTTGTACGGCTGACAAATAAAAAATCTGGACCGAATAGTGGCAACTCGAAGCAGGACACCTAGCAGAATCGGAATTATCGGAAACGTTCCCTCAAAAACGTAGCCCCCCAGAAGGACAGATCTCCTTGCTGAAGGCCCACCCGAGTAAGACCTCAGCATGTTTACCCACGCCTCTTTCGTTCTGGTCACATCCCCCCTTCCGCCTCCTCAAAAATGAAAAACCGAATTATACTACCATTGCATAACGGGGTGGACTTATTACGGAAGGTGGAGAGGTGTTGTAAAAAAGAAGGAAATTCTTATGCCCCTCATACAGCCTTGATGTGCCCTTATCAGTCCCAAACCTCAAACCCAAAAGCTGCGACCCCAAATCTACCGATGCCCTTAAATTCCCTGATCCCGAGACAGCTGTTTGTTACAAGCCCCAAACCTGTGGAGGGTAGTTTCCCAAAATAGTGGTACCCCAATATAGACCCCCAAATACTACAATCCTTATGTTTGGGACCCCTAAAAAAGTACCCCTAATTTTGGGAAACCCCCATGGGAGGAGCCAAAGACAACCCCTATATAACCCTTAAATAGCCCCCTAAACAACCCCTATATAACCCCCCATATAACCCATGTAGCCCCCCAAAGTTCCCATGCAGGAAGCCAGGGGCCCGGCCCACTTTGCACCTTTCTCGCGCTCATCGCGTGAGTCGCGGCCGTTAAAGGCCCCGAAGTCCATACCTCCTACTCAAGCGTTTTAGCGTTGAAGGTTTGTAATCCCCTGAAGTAGATAGAATATGAAACTCCCCAAAATAATCATAAGATCCCCATATAACCCATATTCTATCTGCTAAAGGGGAGTATAGGGTATAGGCTAGTAACTAGTATGTCAGGATAAAGGGAGCCTTTGGAAATTATGCAGGCATGATATAGGGAGTTGTATACGAGTGGGGTATGTTAGAACAGTGGAAAATCAAATGGAAAGAAATTGAAAAAATACATGGAAACGGGGATTATACAGGACCTAGGTAGGCACATTTCCACACCTTAGCGTTATCTATAACCGTGCTTGTACAGGACTACAGGATAATAACTGGCTATGAATTGGGTTTCCCTGCCTGGATCAGCCCGGAAACCCTCTAAGTCCAGTACCATGTATACTTCGCATGAAATGCTTGCATACCTGCTGTGTACCTAGGTAGCCCCAATAAACCCCTGTAAACCAACGTGGTCCCTGATTATGGGTCACGCACACCGTCCCTGGATCTACAGGTAGCAAGCCCCCTCGTGATAAGTTAAAATGGGCGCCAAACCCTAAAGCCTAAATGGATTCAAGGGGAATGGGGTCCAGGATTTAGGGCTTAGGGTAGGATTTAGCGCTTCGGGTTAAGAGCTTGGTGGCTGGGTTTGTACAACCAACCCTAATCCCCAATCGCAAAATCCTAAGCCCTAACCTCTGAAACCTAATTAACCTAAATACGCTACACTCTGTATACCCTAACCTCTAAACCCTAAAGACCCCACACCCTATATACCCTAAACCCTAACTGACTGGGGCGCACCTCGCCCATCCCGACCGCGTCGATCGCGTCGGTCACTTTTTATTGCCCGACTGGTCTGGCCTTAGGGCCATCCGTAAACAGGGATTTGATGAGGTCTACATGATAGTTTCCCTGCAAGGGGGGGGGCCCCAATGTAAACCCCAAAATACTATACCCCATATTATGGGGACCCCACATGAAGGTTCTATAGAAATTATATAAGGTTTAGCGTACGAGGGTTTCGGGTTTAAGGTATATAGTGCTAGAGTACGCAGGGTAGGGTTCAGGGTGTAGGGTGTAGGGTTTAGCGTATCTCGGTTAAACAGCAACCCCTTTGAGTGCAATTGCTACTCCTACGGTAGTGGTTTCAGGAACAATGGGAGCAGTAATTGTCATTTTGGTGAAATGCAGCGACAGCGGAAGCAAGTAGTAGGACATCATTGGCTGCGTATTGAGGGCTTGGTATGGGCTAATGGTTCCAGGCTCAAGGCGTAGGGACCAGGGTGGTGGTTCGTCCGCTGCAGCACTCGCAAGGTAGTCAGGCCCTTTACCAAAAGACTGGAGCTCCTGTAACTCAGGTTAGATTTTTAAGAACTGCAGGTAAAGAGTGGGTTGGCAAAGGCTTCTTCTTTTCATTTTACCACTCTTTAACCCTGAACCCAGGGCCCTAAAACTATAGTAGTTTCCATTTGATTTTCCACTATCCCAATATTACCCCAATGTACTATAGTAGTTTCCATTTTCTTTTCCATTATCCCAATATAATAGACAAAGCATCAGAGCTCCCTAAAACATGGCACTAGCGGCATGACCATGCATAGTACCTTGAAGGGGATTCTCAAAATGATGAGCCCCTTGGGTGGGGTCCGTATAGAGAATAAGGAACCTAATTTGGGGCCCGGTGTCTAGGAGGACCCACATCTTGAGAAACGCCCACCTCAACAAAGGGCCTCTGACGACCTACTGCTTACTTACCTTGTTCACCGAGGAACGAAGACATGGATCCTTAGAGTGGTCCCTATTTTATGGTCCCCGAGAACATGACTATTTCGATGTTATTGTCCATTCACGCCCTCGAGCCCGAGGTAAGTTCATGAGGCTGGCATCCCAACACCACGCGCTTTCAGGGTTTTCCCCTGAGCTCAAACGGAACCCCAACAGGCGGCCGGAAAGACCACAGTCCGCTTGAATGGGAGCTACATGAAGTTCCATGTTGGATTGGGGAATGGCAAGGGTCTCAGGGGTGTAGCCCTCAGGACATCCGCACCAGCGTCGACGTAAGCACTGAAGCCGCAAATCATAAAGTTAGACAGCAGGGGCTTTGGGGAGAAACGCGAACCTCCTCGTCTACAAGGTACATGCAAAGTGGGCGTTCTGGCGGCCGCAATATTTTTAGGAAGGGTTTCGTGATAGCATGTGTTGTAATTTTATTTGTTGATCAACCATTATGATAACAAGTATTCCTACTGCTGCTTAAACTGTATGATTGCATGTTATCATATTGTAATGTAGGATCAGATCAAAACTATGATCCTGTTTTGGGAACACTTTTTTGTTGGGGGCTGTAATGTAATGGGAACCCGAAAATGAGTTTGACAACCTACCCTTCAAAATTCCTCAAACCAAACCCTTCTCAATCCCTAAAGGAGCAGTTTTCATAACATGTTCCATTTGGCTGCCCATTTCCTTCTTAATATCTCCACCCTACACCCGGCATATCCCTGCGTGCTCCAGTATGACTACTGTACATTCAATGACCCTCAACCCTAAACCCTTAACCCTAACTCCTAAACCGTACATCCTAAACCCTAAACCCTAAACCCTAAACCCTAAGTCCGAGGGTATCGCTGTAGTCCCCAGGGGGGCCCCACTGCATGCCGTAGGGGGGCCTAGCTCAGGGCTTCTTAGGGGTTCACGGAGGATCCTTGGGCTGAGGGAGTTTAGGGCTAAGGGTGTGGGGTTTAAGGGTTTGGGGTTTAAGGGTTTAAGGGTTTAAGGGTGTAAGGGTTTAAAGGTTTAAAGGTTTAAGGGTTTAAGGGTTTAAGGGTTTAAGGGTTTAAGGGTTTAAGGGTTTAAGGGTTTAAGGGTTTAAGGGTGTAAGGGTTTAAAGGGTTTAAGGGTTTAAGGGTTTCAGGGTTTAAGGGTTTAAGGGTTTAAGGGTTTAAGGGTTTAAGGGTTTAAGGGTTTAAGGGTTCAGGGCTTAGGGTTTAGGGCTAGGGTTGATGGATTAGGGTTCCGTGGTTAAGGCTCAGGGGATATGGGTTCAGGGGTGAAAGATTAGGATTCAGGGATTAACGATGAAGGCTTTGGGTTTAGCGTTCAAGGTTCAGGGCCTTGAAGTGCAAACGGATCGTTGTGGAGCCCTGATAGAGCATGATTTTATAAAATTGCAAGACAATTCACATTCCAACCCTGGCATATGCTGCTTACATGGGGGCTTCTCATACAAAAAGGTGCCTATAAGACACTAAAGGTATATGGGCTCATAGGGAGATGATAGATAGAGCTCCCTAAGGAAGATATGATATGGGGAACCCATGGGATTTGCTCGGATAATTCTCCGGAGGGAGCGGCCTGGGACGACTACCTAGGATATGCGGGATACATACGCGAAGGTTTGTATATGAGCTATAGTCAAAACTCCAAGTATCCCCCTTAATAAGCTATCCCCTATGTAACTCCCCTTTAAAGGGTTTAGACTAGAGCTCATATGGTAATAGCACTGTGTAGGGTTTGGCATCCATGGCTACAGCTACACAACATGTCTTACACGAAGCAAGGTATTCAGAGGGTCAGGGCCCAGCAGAGAGGGTCCCTAACAGGCCCTAAACCCTAAATAGTAGCTTCCATTTCATTTTCAATCATCTCAGTATAAACCCAATATCAGCCTATATAATCCCCATATAACGCCCTCATTATCCCTACACACGTTTGTCTGGGGTTGTGCTTTCGGTTCGTTCGGTGTACATTAGACATCCTGGCAAGCTTGCTTCTAGTGGCTACTATCCCTTATCTTAGCCCATCCCATACCCCCAAAAAGTATAAAGGATCCCTAACATTGATCCAGTTATAGTCACTATTTCAGGGTATCCAAACCAGCACAAGATTTGATGTCCATTGCATCTGTCAAGCTGTCGGGGGCCAACATTAAGAAGCTGGCTGCAGCCATGGTGGTGCCCAGCTTTGCTTTGAACAGGCTCCAGGGAACCCTGCATTCCTGACACATGCTTGTGGCAAATGCAGTGCAGGGTCCCGTATCCTGAGGAATCCAAGGAGTTTTCAGCAGCAACCCGAACCCGAACCCTACAAAACTCATACCATGATCAAGGGATCCTCCATGTTGGGGGTTTGGTTTACCAGGTAGCCGCCTGTCGTGCTCACTGGCATCCACCTGCTCCTGGCACCTACTCTATGTATCTATATGTCTCCGTACATCATAGATTCCTTGCAACCCTTTACTGCACCAAAACACCCTTGGCCCTTTGACTGCACTATGAAACCTAAACCCTAAACCTTGTTACAGAGCCTGATGAGCCCTACACCTACACGCAAGCACAAAAACGCGAATGAAACCCAAATGCTACATCCAGAACATTCATCCAAAACCTACACCCGAATCCTTGCAATGAATCCTGGGCCGCGAGATGAACGCTGAATCCTCAACCCTAAGCCACATACATACGCTAACCCCTAAACCGCGCAAGCAATCCGAAGCCCACAGCCGAATGTGGGAAATCATCTTCAAAAGCACAAGGTTGCCAAGTGAGCAGCAACCATTTCCAAAGATGCGGGTCGCCCTGTATACCCCTGAAATACCACTATCTTGATAAGATAGATTCCTAAAAGGGGTTCACAATTTGTTGGACACCTCTGAGCATCCTGAGTCCCTGGCGGCCCATAGGGTCCCCACGGTGCACCGCCATAGGCCATCTGCGGTTTAGAGTTTCAGGTTTTGGTTAGGCTTCAGGCTAAGGATCCGGGATATAATCTTTCAGCTTTGGGTTCAGGTTGTAGAATTTAGGGTCCAGAACTCAGGTTTTCAGTTTAGGCTTCACTGCTTTGAGTCTAAGGAAGCTGGTATAGAGATCCATTCCCTCCATTCCATTCAAACGACCCGCAAGAAAATGGTCCCGGGCCACGCATTCTTTGAGTGCCGCGTGGCAAGCATAACTCGGGCGCCTAGTATTCGTGGTACAAAAGTGGGACTTGCAAACACTAAACTCCCGTGCGGGCGCCACAAGAACTACTGCCCCTCCGAAAGAGACCTAGAGGGATCGTTTTCTTTTGGAGACGGCAGAAACCTTAGCTGCAGATTTTGCTGTGAGGACAAGTGCCGCGGACATCAGCACACGAATTATTAGGCCCTGCTGGGCTTGTCCTAGATCCTGTACTTTCCCATAAGCCCCATAAATGTCAGCCTCCTTAGCAACTGTAGGCCTTTGGGTCCAGAAGGTCTGTTGACAGACACTGGCGTCCTATCAAAGACAATGAGAAGTTCAACATTGTACCTGGTGGAGAAGTCTTACATAATGAATCCAGGAAGGCTAATGAAGCGTCTAGACCCCAAACCTGATTTGCTCCTCGTTTGGGTGGTCCCTACACAGGAAAAGCGGCCAGGAAATTGCAAGACACGCAGCCTGCAAGCCTCTGAAACTTAAACCGCCGAAGGGTTTGGGGTTTAGGATTCAGGGTTTAGGGTTATATTGGGATTATATTGGGATAATGGAAAATGAAATGGAAACTGCACAAAACCCAGTGTAGGGTTGAGCAACGAAGACCTTAATGCCTACAACACCTTGGCCCCCACTCGAGTATTTCTGCAGGCTCAGGTACCCCGGATAATGTCAAACATGTTCACGCCTCCAGGACCTCAAGAAACGACCCACATACTCCTGATGATCCCTGAAACTTGCTTTAAAAAGGAAATCCTCTTCTTTCATCACCGGGCACTGCCGCAAAAGAGGCGGAAAAGCATGAGACATCCTGCACGACAGACGGATAAAAGTGTGTACTACCTAGCACTCCTAAAACACTATCATTCCTGGTACTATGATGTGATGCAAGATCTGCTCCATACACTGTCTCTCCTGACATAATAGCCGGCCAAATACTCATTTTGAGCCTCTAGACCTAGACCCCCACAAACCTAAACTTCAAAACCTTTCATCCCAAGCCCCTAACCCCAAAACCCCATACTCCCGGGCGCTAAACTTTAAACTTCAAACCCTAAAACTTAAACCCTGAACCCTCAAAACATAAACCCCAAAGAGGAAGCCCAGCCCCTCTCCAAGGTTCGGACAGGCACTGGATATCCAGGCATATATGCCATAGGGTAGCCTAGTGCTTTGAGCATGAAGGGCTTACGGCTGAAGATCTCGGGATTTGGGGGTTTAGGGGTTCAGGGGTTCAGGGGTTCAGGGGTTCAGGGGTTGGGGG